CACACCCACACCCACACCAACACCAACACCCACACCCACACACCCACACCCACACCCACACACCCATACCCACACTCACACCTACACCCACACCCTTACTCCGCATATAGTAATAATCATTCCATTCCGAATTCCCAGTAACGCCTTTCCGATCTCGTTTTCAAAAAGGATTACGAACTCCCGTCGAATATTTGTTACGGGAGAAAGTCATTTCCGAACACCCGGACACATGTCCGGAGTTCGGAATGACTTGGTGCGAAATGTCCGTCACCCGATTTATCAATCCAGTCTACTACTGTTACCACTTTTTTCTATATCACCATTAACGCAAGGAAAAAAGAAAAATCATTCTCTGTTTTCTTTTTCATTTGCTGTCTTGTAAAACTTGTAACTTATTTTTGTGTGCATTATAAGTCCATTAAAATTTATCTGAAAAAGTTCTGCATAATAGTGAAAGAGAAGATTATAAACAAAGAAACAGAATTGAAGTATCTATAGAAGGTTAAATCAGATGTTAGAGATCTTTAAAAAATGAAATTAGATGAATTTATGAATATGAAAGTGATAGTATGCGTAGTTTCCATGAAACGAAATTGTGATAAACGAAGTTTAAAACCGTCAATCCTCAGTATATGAAAACACATGGCATCCAATAATTTATTGATTTAAGATTCAGCTCATCAATTGTCTTAAGGGTGTGGGTGTTTTCTTCAATGATATTCACATCCACACCCTCTGAGTAGTTTTAAAACTTTGTTTACTAGCTTTGCTGAAAACTGTAAACCAGCATGCGACAGCCAAGAAGCTGAATATACAGTGGAGAGTTAAATGGGTAACAGAGCGATGAAATTTGATTGCTTTTTAGTTCTCGTATTTTCGCCGATTCTGGGTGGCGAAGGAAAATACAACTTATAAAGTCATGGGTGAATCGTTCATTTTTCGCATATGAATGCGTTGGATCGCACTAAAAATTATATGTAATGCTAAACAGCATGCAAGGGCCTTAGAAAATCTTTATAGAATGGTTCTTTTAGGCCGGATTTTCATAAAGAATATGCTTAAAATATTGCATTAGGCAAGAATGGGTCAATTGTACGATAGTTGAGGGTGTGGGTATGAGTATGGGTAAGTTGAATATCAACACCCACACTCATCAACACCAAAATAAACCAACGAAAATTTTCCACAGTGCCGTCCGACAAGCAAAATAAAAAGAGCCGTAATGAATCACCCCCATCGCATCACGGGTGAGAGCAAATAATTTCATACGTATTTACAAGCACTAAGCTGCCACACACCAACGGCACTCTATTCCTACATAATGATGGCTCCTTAATGATAAATACTTGTAATGCGAGGTACGTGCAACCAATGTAACACATCTTTCATTTCAGCTCCGCAGTATGGGAACACGAAGCGCTCCCCGAAGAGCCGCGACTCAAGCATCTCTCTGTATGCACCATCATTTTATGCATCGCCAACAGTTCACAGAAATAAAATCATCCATCGATAACTGCAGAATTCGGACTGCACTGTCACCTTCCAATAATCTCCAATAATGTATCCTGTTCCTGGAAGATACATGCGACTCACATGGCATACGTTTATTTTCATTGTCATGGCGTGGGATGCAATGCAATCATCTTTGTCATGATGCATCAAGACGACAGGGTAGCAGTTTGTCCATAGTAGGCTGTGTCTATTAGCACCTGTGATAATTATGATAAATAATTAGCATGTCTGATTCCCCGCATTATCCTGAATGAGGGTGTGGGTGTGGGTGGTGTAAGTGTTGCCATTGTTGTGAGTGCGAATGAATAGAATATTATACTTAAACCTACATCCAATGCTACACTCACACCCACACCTTGAAAGAAAATTCGTTGTTTCGAACAATTATATGAACAAGAATGAATTACGCATTGTTCTAATTTTTCTTTTTTGCATAGCAATATGACCAGTATTTCATACATTTTTAGATTGTTTGAAATAGAAGCATATTAACCCGCAATCGATAACTGAAACACAACTTCTGTCGTATTCAATTTTTTTTAAATTAATATGACCAATTCGATTGTATCCACTGATGATGTTTCTACAAATGTAGATGATGAAGAACTTGAAATATTTTGTCTTATCTGGTTGGATGATAATACACAAAGTGATGATAATAGAGGTACAGAACAAAAATTACGCTCTATTATTAATCGGTTGAAAAGATTTCAAGACGTATTATAATGTGAAAAATATATTAAGCAAAGATCTTCGAAAGATCGATTGGTAATGATTGTAAGTGGCCAATTAGGACGAATAATAGTTCCTACTATTCATGAAGTTCGACAAGCCGTGTCAATATACGTATACTGCATGAACAAGAAAGCTCATCAAGAATGGACTCAAAGTTTTTCAAAGGTAAAATCAGTTTAAGCACTATCAATTTCAGTTCATGATATTTGTCTTTTCATGGATAGGTACAAGCTGTTATTACTGAACTCGATGAAGTTGTGTCTCGAATTACAGCTGATCATAAAATTCAAAAACTTGTAGAAGAACCATTATCAATTAATATTTTTAATGGTCAATCGATAGCTGATGTCAATGGTAAATTTGTTTTTTCACAAGTTTTGATCGATTGCCTTTTACGATTGAAATCGGACAAAACGATAAAAAGGAACTTATTAAACGTTGTAAAAAGGCATACGATGGTAATAATATTGAATTGAAAAATATTCGTGAATTTAAAAAGAAATATTCATCAGAAAAATCTTTACGGTGGTACTCACGAGAGTCATTCTTTTATAAGACTCTAAATGCTGTTCTACGCAATGAAGATATTCATATGATGTTTTTATTTCGTGAATTTATTGCTGACATTCAAAATCAATTGAAATTGTATCCAATTGATAAAACTCAAAGACTTTATCGAGGACAAAGGATATCAAAAGAAGAATTAATAACATTAGAACAAAATTGTGGACAACTTATTTCAGTGAATTCATTTTTCTCTACAAGTGCTGATGAGAAACAAGCTCGTACCTTTCTCAATGCTTCACATGCTACAAATAATTTAGAACGAGTTTTATTTCAGATCACTGCTGATCCTAAAATGACTGCTACAAAACCATTTGCTGATATTAGCAGCTATAGTGAATATCCGGATGAATCAGAAACACTATTTATGATGGGTTCTATTTTTCGTTTGAATAGTGTTGATCGAAGTAGTGAGGATAATATCTGGATTATTCGAATGACTTTATGTAGTGAAAACGAAAGTGATCTTAAAAATGTTCTTCAATATATGAAACAGCAACTTGGTACTGAAGAAACAAATCTTCAAACATTAGGAAAAGTATTATGGGATATGGGTAGACTGGATTTAGCTGAACGATATTTTATTCGTTTATTGAATAATCTACCAGAAAACCATCATTTACTCAGTGATTTATATGAAGATCTTGGCAGAATTGCATCGCTCACCGGTGACTATGACAAGAGTATTGATTATCGTAAAAAGTCACTTGCACTCAAGGATTCAACTACATCAATGAGCAGTATGCCTGCTGATGAGTCTGACAAGCAAAATGGTAAGATTTTCGAAAGAAGTTCTGCTATTATGTAGTAGATATCTCATATAGAAAGAAGTTTACTACTGAAGAAAAAATGATTGAAAAACTTTCGAAAAAGAACTCAACATTATAAAATGAAATAGTTATAATCTTTAAAATGAGTTTTAGATTTAGCTGATGTGTAGTTAACAGTTGTATGTCGAGTCGATTAAATGATATTTAGAGCTATAACTAATACATCATAAGATCGAATTCAAGAGTTTCAATAAATCAGACAGGTTTAAAACTTGGACTGTGATCCAATTCAATAATACTAAGATCATTGTTATAAGAATCATGATATTGACGATTTTTTTTATTCTTTGTATTCACTGAATATTGGCACTGCGCAGACAAACCAATAAGTTATATGTCGAAAATGATCCTTTTTTGTTGCTCTTTTGCATTCTGTTGATAAATACTTTTAAGTCAGTCATATTGTTGTTTTGCTATGTTTTCTAGCGAGTCATAGAAGAATTTTCTTAATTTATTCGGAATACGTATTTTGTCTTTACAAGACAAGCAAATGAAAATATAAACTTTATGTAATTGGAATCCCGAAGTAAAGATGCTTGTTCTATAAGTTTATTTTTCTCTGATATCATTTAGTTATACGCTGTACAAAATCATGAGTCATCATTTCTGTAGGACAATTTTGTATTTTAACTATTATTATCCGGGATAATTTTTATTTTATCATGTGACACCCGTTTCTTGTCGTGTTTCTCTTCAACTTGAAATTGTTCGTTCTCCGATTACTTCTCATTATTAAGTGATTTAGTTCTGTTTCTGTCCGTACCTATTGACTAACATTAGTTTTACCCCATCTTCCGACCAAAATAAATAACAACAGTAAATAGTCAGTTGAGGTGTTCAGTCAATTTGAGTTCTTTTTTTGTATCTATCTCCTAAATACATAATCCTTCTTTCGTTAAATATATTTTTTTATGTAAATATGAAAAAATGTCATGTACATAGACCTATTTTCAAACAGTAGACGACATAAAGGAGAGCATGGAAAATTTCCATTTCCAGGAAATTCAAATAAAATACTTATAAAATAAATTTCCTGGAAATCCAAAAATTTTAACATAACACTTCATTCTTTATTAAGACATAAAAATATCTTGTACGATAAATAAAGATATAACTATATCTTTTTTCTAAACTCCAGTTTGATAAAAGAACGTAATTGAAATATGCTTATAAAGATATACTATATAAATACAAACCAATAGAGATTATACTTTAAAATTGAACAAAGTTTATTCTATTGGGAAATTCATATTAATATTTGTAATGATATAAATATATACTTAAAAATCTTGGGTTGGGCTGGGGTGGGTTGGGTGACAATGTATTGGAAATTCATTTTTATATGGAAATGGTATTCTAGGAGTACTATAATATTCAGTCATGGGTTGGGTTAGGTTGGGTTGGGTTGGGTTGGGTTGGGCTG